ATAATTTTCTTTCGGGGCCAATACCAAAATCTTTTCAGCTTCTCAATTCAATGACCATACAAAATAAGAGACTTGACCATTTAATTCCCAATGACGGTGTTGTTATTCCAACGAGGCATGGAAGTGTAATTTTGGGGGATATTACAAACTATTTAGGCCTATCTTGGCCAGATGCATTAATGATTAATATAAAAGGAACAGATCGTGAATTCATAGACATACTCTCTCTTGTGAACATTATTGATCTTTCTTGGTGGAGAGGTTCCTATAGAATTAATGAACTTAGTTGGATTGATAAGCTTGAATTTAGCCAGAAATGAATTCACGGGGCATATCCCTATCAATATTGGAGATATGCAAAGCTTAGAAAGTTTGGATCTATCGAGGAACCATTTCTCAGGACAAATTCCGGAGAGCATTGTGAAGCTAAGTAAGTTGAACTATCTCAACTTATCCTACAATCAATTGTCAGGTAGAATTCCGAGTGGGACCCAACTTGACACCTTCAAAGAATCAAGTTACTATGGAAATTCTGAACTTTGTGGAATGCCACTTTTCAAGACTTGTAAAGATGATGAACATAATATCCACAATGGAGGAAGCAATTCCAATGATGATGATGATTTTGGTTTGTTCCTTGGTATGGGTCTTGGTTTTGTTGTTGGACTATGGAGTATACTGGGAACCTTATTGCTTAAGAAGTCATGGGCATTCACTTACTTTCAGTGGTTTGATGATATGACAAATAACATTTATGTATATGTCGCCGTGAAAATAAACCGGCATTTTTATCATTAAATTAAATGATATATGCATAATTATTTTATTTTGTAAATTTGTCATTGGAGACCTGCTTCTCTATAGATTGTCTTGTTTGCTCGTCTATATGTTTACCAATTTGCTAAGTTGAATTTTATGTGCAAATTGCATGAAGAATTATCTTTAAGAATACGTTGATGCCATAAAATTATGGATGAAAATGTGTATTATATTTTTTAAAAATTAGTAATAATAATATTTTTATATGCGATGCTAAAGATTTGAGTGGCATGCATGTAAATATCAATTTTTATGAGTTAGATAAGTAAATATATAAGATGTTAGCTATGTAAATACATAAGAATTAAGTGGTATGCCCGTAAATCTTACTATTATTTGATATTGCAGAGAAAAACGTAATCAAATTGAACTGAAATTAAGATGAAATAAAATTTGATTTGAGAATAATTAGAGATGAAGTCGTTCTGTTTATGGGATGCTAATTTCTAAAAATGGACTAATAATTATTTTAGTAATTTAACAGACTCCAAGGCCTCTATATATATATATATTAAAAATTAAGATACTATGATTCAATGAAATCAAGCATAAAATTGGTTATAGCATGATTATATCTCGTTTTCCATAATCAACATAAGTGCTCTCTTAACACTTCCTTGCTAATTACATCTAGTAGTTGATATTCCCAAAGATACTTTTGATTAAAGTGTTGGCTTATATTACTCATGATTACTAGTTTGGTGTTTGCATGATTGATATTTCAAGACTTCAGATGTATAGATTGAAAGACTTAAAAAGATTTGCTTGGAATTGAAAGGCTGAGACTTACAGTCTAATGACGATGTGTTTTTTAAAGGCTTAGGAAAAGGATTATGCATGATTGATATTTCAAGATTTCAGATGTATAGATTGAAAGGCTTAAAAAGATTTGCTTGGAATTTAAAGGCTGAGACTTACAGTCCAACGACGATGTGTTTTTTAAAGGCTTGCGAAAAGGATTAGCTGATTTTAGGGAGAAGACGCTCGTTGGAGATTGGAATTGTAAATTTGTTGAATAATTAGAGCTTTGATTTGGATTTGGTTGAGAAATTTTGATTGAATAATTAGAATTTTGATTTGAAAAGATGTAATCACTCAATATTCTAAAATCAAATTAATTTAATCTTATTTTAAGTCAATTAAAATAAGTCTCTATCAATATTATTAAAAAAAAGGGACATTTCCATGCACATCGCACAATTCTTATTATTAACATAAATGCCACAGTTCATATCTTTATGTAATTTGGTATCTAACACCAAAACTTTAAAATTTACATTCTAAATCTTTATCATCACGTCAAAAATATCATTCTTGCTGACTTCTTAAAAATCGTCAAATGCATATTTTTATGCATAAATATATAGCACCAAAGTGTTTTAAATGTAAATATCAAATTGTAAGTGTTAGATATATAAATTTATAAGAATTAATTTATAAGAATTGTGTGGTAAAATTTATAAGAATTGTGTGGTACATATGTAATTTTCTCTTGCAATTATATGTGTTAAAGAGACAAAAGCCATAACCAACATAATTGACTTGACTTACTTAGTGATCTTTCCTACGAAACGTACAAAAATAAAATAATAATTAATTAATTAATAAGATTAATATTAGCCTATCTTTGACGGATCTAAATATTGAATTTGAATATATTGTTAATGTATTTTATATTAATATTAAAAAAAAAAAAAAACCTCTGGAAAAATTTTTCGATCATTCATCAATTCAGTTGTCTTCACTCTATAACAGAATGATGTAGTTGAAAGAAAACTTCGTCACCTACTCAGCATAGGTTAAGCCTAATTGTTTCAAGCTAATTACCCAAAAAATTCTGGGGAGATTCAATCCTAACTGCCACCCAGCAAATTAACTAAACACCAACATCTCTTCTCTAAGGAAAGACTCTTTTCGAAATGCTCTTCCAAGCACAACCCACGTATGATCATTTGTGCTTGTTTGGGTGTCTTTGCTTTACTTCAACACATCATTAGCGACCAACCAAGTTTGATCCCAGACCCAGAGTCATTCGATGTTTTTTTTCGATGTTTTTTATTAGGTTATCTATGTGCTCAAAAGGGCTATAGAGTCTTTCAACTGAGAAAGTTTTTGTATCACGAGATGTTCTTTTCATGAAAACTTTTTTCCTTCCCCTTCTTTCACTAAAACTTATGGTTCAATTCCTCACTTCTCCACCCACACCGACATGCCTTCTTTCGATGAATTACCTTAAGAAGACATTCCATCTTCTCAAAACAATGAAATCCCCTCTCAAGAGACTCCTTCACCTTCACTCACTCTAAATCTATCCCCAGAATAACTTGCAACTCTAGACCAACAAATATCATCACCACAACCAATGAGAACAAAAAAAATGCCTAGCGAATTGCGTGAGTATCATGTTGGTATTTCACTTCCCTCACGACACCCCTCAACATCTAACTCTGTGTTGACCAAAGCTACATATACATTCTATACATTAACCAACATCTTGTTATATGCTAGATTGTCACCTAAACATCGTATTTTTATCACCGCTCTTTTAATTGAAAATGGAGTCAACACCTTTGTAGAAGCATCTCATGATCCAAAATGGCAGGTTGTTATGTGAGAAGAACTTGCCGCACTCAACACCAGTGACATAAGGACCCTTGTACCATTACCGCTTGGAAAAATGCTAATTGGATGCAAATGGGCATGCAAAATCAAACTTCATGCAGATGAGACAGTTGAACGTTACAAGGCCAGATTAGTGGCAAAATGGTATAACTAAATTGAAGGGTTAGATTACCACGAAACATTTGCCCATGTAGCAAAGCTTGTAATTGTTCGCCTATGAAATCCACTCTCACCAAATTTATCCTTAGAATAACATGCAACTCTAGACCAACAAATATCATCACCACAACCAATGAAAACAAAAAAACGCCTAACCAATTGCGTTAGTATCATGTTGGTATTTCTCCTCTCTCACGACACTTCTCAACACTCTCAACATCTAACTCTGTGTTTACCAAAGCTACATATACCTTCTATAAATTAACCAACTTCTTTTCATATGCTAGATTTTCACCTAAACATCGTACTTTTATCACCGTTCTTTTAATTGAAAATGGAGTCAAACACCTTTGTAGAAGCATCTCGTGATCCAAAGTGAGCATCTCGTGATCCAAAGTGGCACAAAGTGGCAGGTTGTTATGCGAGAAGAACTTACCGCACTCAACATCAGTGAAATATGGACCTTTGTACCATTACCGCCTAGAAAAATTCCAATTGAATGAAAATGGGTATAAAAAATCAAACTTCATGCAAATGGGACAGTTGAACGTCAAGACTAGATTAGTGGCGAAAGGGTATAATCAAATTGAAGGGCTAGATTACCAGGAAACATTTGCCCGTGTAGCAAAGCTTGTAATTGTTCGCCTACTCCTTGAGTTGGCTTCAACTAAGCAATGACATATCCACCAACTAGATGTCAATAATGCTTTCTTGTGTGGGGACCTCGACAAAGATGATATATGTCACTACCTCCTGGCCTCGGACGAAAGGAGAAGACTCGAGTATGTAAACTCCACAAATCATTATATGGTCTCAAACAAGCTTCATGACAATGGTTCATCAAGCTTTACACTACTCTAAAGTGAGCCAATTTTATGCAATGAAAGGCATAGTATTACTTGTTCATCCGATCTCAGAATGTTAAATTCATCGCTCTTCTTATATATGTTGATGATGTCATCATTGTAGGGAACGACTTGCAAAAAATCGAAGATGTCAAAATATTATTGAGGAACCAATTCAAATTCGGGACCTCGGACAATTGAAATATTTTCTTGGTATTGAGGTTGCGTGATTCTAGAAGGGTATTGTGATAACCAAATAACACTTCACATCGTCTTGAAGCCGATATAACATGAGTGAACAAAGCACATATAGATTGATTGTCATCTCATACAGGAAAATGTTCAAAAAGAAATGATAAAGTTGATTCACGTGTCCACTTTAGAGCAGCCAACAAACGTTTTCACAAAATTACTAAACTCTTCTCAATTTTCGATACTACTTAGCAAGTTAGGAGTTATTAACCTACATTCCAAGCTCGAGGGGGAGTGTTAAGGATTGGGGGATGAATCTCATGCATGATATCCAAAAGCAATTAAATACAGAATCGATCATACGCATAATATCCAAATAAAATAAAATAATTAGTGTATAATTATGAGTTTCCTATTAATTATTAAAGTGATTATATGAAATGAATCAATAGCACAAATTATCCTGATATAATGTAAATAGCCTTGATTGCACATAAGTTTAGGCATAATTTTTGTTCTTATTTTACTCATTTTTCCTATACTAAACCTTAAATTTATTGTATAAAAATATCAGCCCTCTTTGTACAATGAAATGAATAAGAGAATCATACATTATTCTCTAACATTTTGTATATGGAGCACGCATGTGCAATAAAAAAATTTCATATTTTATTTTATTTTATTGTAATATTTAATGCATCTTTGAATAGTATAGTATTATGAACTATATATAATGTAAAATTTGATTTGAGAATAATTAGAGAAGAAGTCGTTCTGTTAATGCGATGCTAATTTCTAAAAGAGGACTAATAATTATTTATTACTTTTATGAGTCTTTATAATAAGTGATTAAATTATATATATATATATATATAT